AGTGTTTCCATGTATTTCCATGCCTTACAATAAATAAGCACTACAGCAAATTGAATAGTCAGCTTTTTTACATGCTACTACTTTTATTTTCTTTCAGTTTAGCACAAACAGAATATGAACAAATTCAGCAAATATCATGCATTTACTGCTTGCATATTTTGTAAGGAGTCATAATGCAGATCTTTAAAAAAAAAGTTCAGCTCATTGAATGTTCTTTAAAAAAAACTTATTTTGGCAAACATTTAATGTATGAATGAAAAAGACTTTAAGACTTTAAAGCATTTTCACAAAAATGATATTGACTTAAAGAAAACATTTCTTCTCCCACAACCAGATATACTCAAAAGACAAAGGAAGATACAAAATCTGCATTATGGTCATAAAAACCTTTAATCATATAAGAAGTATTTGGGGAGTTCAGTAAAATTGGGGACACATCCGAAGGAAAAAAATATTACATTGGAAAGGGATAAAGTTGTAGAGAACGATGGTCGTTTAATTCAATTTCATAAAATGTGTAGAAAATGTGAGACACAATCCCACCGATGACAAGGTCACCAGGCTGGAACCACTCATGTGGAACAGAGAAAGCTTCACTTGCAGGGCATCTTAGAGTAGCTACTCTGTGCATGGAGAACATCAAAAGAAACAACATCTTCATTCTATTGTGATGGAGAAAATGTCTGGGTCTGTCATTCAAAGAGAAGTTCTGGCAGATAAAACAGGAGGAATGAATCTCAGAAAGTCGGCATTATCCTTTACTGCCTCCATGCGGCTCTCATGATATTTATGAGGACTGTTTTTCAATTCCTATTTCCTTCTGCACAGAACATTTGCTATTTCAGTCAAAGAGAAGTTCTGGCAGATAAAACAGGAGGAAGAGAATTTGTGGAAATAAACCTCATGAAGCCACCCCTTTGTGCTCTCATGTGGCTCTAGAAGTAATTATATGGGTTGTTTCTCCATTCCTATTCCCTTCTGTTGAGAACCTTTGATAGTTTTGGCCTATTTCGATAACAGACTGATCTCAGCTATTTGTAAGGCATATAATTTACCTTTGAAACATTGGCAAGCTGGCCTTGTTTTCTTTGCATAGCTGACCAGCATCTTTCTCTCTTTTGTTGGGTCACCTAATAATTGACTGATTGCTTTGAAAATACTTGAAGAAGTAGAATTTGGAAGATATTTTGGAGATATTCTTTTTCACTTTTCTATAGTTCTTCAGATACATTCAGTAAAAAGTTATACATACTTTTCTTGGATGTTTTAATTCCTATTTCTGTAGGCTTTAATTTTTACTAGTCTTTATTCACTTTTGCTCATGATATGATATATTACAGAATAACCTGGCAAAAATTAACTAGGCAGGATTCACCCTGCCTTCTTACTTCCTGTCTCCAATAAGGCAGCAGGGCCTCCCTAATCTTCAACTTCCTCTTTAGCAGGATATAGTCATCCATTTCAACATAATTACTTCACTTGTTTTAAATCACCTTATAAATCCTCATCTTGTTGTCCTTCTGAATTCTTTTATTTAAAATAGCTAGCTGTGTTTCCAACCCAGTTAAAATTTCCACCCACAAATTGCAGGGACTGGGTATGTCTAGTTTAATGAAAAGAAGACTAGAGGAGACATGATAGCAGTGTTCCAATATCTCACGGGCTGCCATAAAGAAGAGGTTATGAGGGTTTGGGGGAAAACCCACGGGGGATGGGGACTAGCCCGGCTGTTAATGGTGCCATAGGTGGTACGGACTCTGATGGAAAGGGGACTGTTAGAATGCCCTCTATTGAGGGCTTCTCCATTAATACGCTGAGTGGGAGGGGCAGGTATGGCAGGAGCAGGGGGCCGTATCATGTGGTGGGGACACGCGCTCGCTATCTCCGAGCGATTGCATGCTCCGGTCCCCTTAGCTCTTCCCGTTCCCCAGGTTGCTTACAGTCTCAGGGCCCAAGTCTCCGGCTGATGTTGTGTAATGCCAGGTCCGTAGTAAATAAAGCCCCCCTCATTTGTGATCTTATTCAGGAGGAGGGAGCGGACCTGGCAGGTACTACGGAGACCTGGTTGGGCCATGGGGAGGGGTTCCCCTCGTGGAGATGTGCCCATCAGTCTTCCATGCATTTCATCAGCCGAGAGCTCAGGGCAGGGGCTGGGGGTGGCGGTCATTCTAAGAGAAGGTCTTGATCCGAGGGAGACCACTGTACCTCAGATAGCCGGATGTGAGTCCCTTTTTGTGAAGTGGGGTCGTGGGGTACAGATGGGTTTGTTGATCAGGTACCTGGCTCCCTGCCACGTGGCAACAACCCTGCCCAAACTCCTCAATGTTATAGCCGAGGTGGCAGCTGATACCCCCAGACTTGTGGTCATGGGAGATTTCAACCTGCCATCTATCGGTGAAACATCTGAGATATCTCGGGAGTTCATGGCTTCCATGATGGCCATGGACCTGACCCAAGTAATTCACGGCCCTACTCACATAGGGGGACTCTATGGACTTAGTTTTTATCTCTGGTCAGTGGTTGAGTGGCCTTGATACAGGGGATATAGATATTGAACCCTTGTCATGGTCTGACCACTTGCTCCTTCGACTTGACTTTCTGACCACCGCACCCCATTGCAGGGAGGTGGAGCCGACCAGGTGGTTCCGCCCCAGGCGCCTGATGGATCCTGATAGGTTCCAGATGGAGCTTGGGCCATTTCCTGAGACACTAGCTCATGACTCGGCTGATGACCTGGTGGCCGCCTGGGATATCGCAGCTGCCGGGGCTTTGGATTGGATCGTGCCTTTGCGGCCTCTGACCCGGCACCGAACTCACTTAGCTCCTTGGTTCTCCGAGGAGCTTAGAGAGATGAAGTGCTGGAAAAGACGCCTAGAGAGCGGTTGGAGGGCCAGTCGTTCGGAATCTGACTTGACACTGGTAAGGTCTCATATTAAGACCTACCTAGTGGCAATAAAAGCGGCGAAATCTAGCTATTTTGCCGCTCTTATCACGCCATCAGATAACCGCCCAGCCACTCTGTTCAGGGTGACCCACTCCCTTCTCCATCTGGGAGCGTGGGATGACCCCTTGCAGGGCCGAGCTGAGGATTTTGTACAGTATCTGTATGATAAAATAACTCAGATTCGGGAAGACTTGGCCGCTGACTGGGTTAGTTCAGACGAGATGACTGAGGCAGGCCTTGAGACTGTTATCTGGGAGGAGTTCGATCCTGTGGCTCCCGAGGACATGGACAGGATCTTGGGACAGCTGAACGCGACCACATGTTTATTGGACCCATGTCCCTCCTGGTTGGTGCTGGCTTCCCGGGAGGTTACACGAGGCTGGCTCCAGGGGACTATCAACGCTTCTTTGAGTGAGGGTGTCCTGCCGGCCGCCTTGAAAGAGGCGGTGGTGAGGCCTCTCCTCAAGAAGCCATCCCTGGATCTGGCTGTTTTGGCTAACTATTGTCCAGTCTCCAACCTTCGTTTTATTGCGAAGATTGTTGAGAGTGTGGTGGCGCGACAGCTTCCCCAGTACCTGGATGAAGCTGTCTATTTGGATCATGATCCTGTTAGATCTCTCAGCGGCTTTTGATACCATCGACCATGGTATCATGTTGCGCCGGCTGGAGGGACTGGGAGTGGGGGGCACCGTTTTGCGGTGGTTCTCCTCCTATCTCTCCGACCAGTCGCAATCCGTGTTGACAGGGGGGCAGCGGTCGACCCCAAGGCACCTTGTTTGTGGGGTGCCACAAGGGTCGGTCCTCTCGCCCCTCCTGTTCAACATTTATGTGAAGCCACTGGGTAAGATCATCCGTGGTTTTGGGGTGGAGTTCCATCAGTACGCTGATGATACTCAGCTGTACATCTCCACCCAGACCGTCCCAACGATGCCTTGGAAGTGATGTCCCAGTGGCTGGAGGCCGTGCGGGTCCGGATGGGGAGAAACAGGCTTCGACTCAATGCTCATCTCCATTAAGTTGTCTGAACTCCTTCCAATGCAAAGGATTACAGGTTTGTTAAAAAGAAAAGAAATTACCAGGGCAAAATAAAGCTAAGATAGTACCAGTGGTGAAATCTAAAATTTGTTACTACTGGTTCTGCGGGCGTGGCTTGTTGGGGGGGTAATGTGACTGGGTGGGCATGGCCAATTTTTTTTTACTTTTAAAACCATTTTTTACATGTAAAAGCATGTTTAAAAAAATGCTTTCAAAAGGCTCTGATGATCCCAGTTGAGTTGCCTGATCGGCAGAGGGTTTTTTAAAAGCTAGGATCGTCAGAGCCAAAAGAGCCAAAAGAAAAAAAAAACTTTTTTTCTTTTAAATGGCTCTGACGATCCAAGCTGAGTTGCCTGATAGGCAGGTAACTCAGTTGGGATCGTCAGAGCTTGGATCGTCAGAGCCATTTAAAAGAAAAAAAGTTTTTTTTTGCCTGATCGGCAGGCAACTCAGCTGGGATCGTCAGAGCTTGGCTCGTTAGAGCTTGGCCCGTCAGAGGCATTTAAAAGAAAAAAAGGCTCTGATGATCAGGCTCAGCTGTGCATAGGGGGCGGGGGCAGGGATTTTCGTACCGGTTCTCCGAACTGCCCACCACCATCGCTACCTTCTTGCCCGAGCCGGTCCGAACTGGGAGCATTTCACCCCTGGATAGTACCAATAGTAATAGGCACTTTGGGTGTTATCCCAAAACATCTGGAGATTCACTTAAACAACATCAGTATTGACAAATTCAACACCAGTCGATTGCACAAAATGCTTTATTTAGAGCAGTTTACAACCTACAAAAAATAAATAAATCCACAACTGCCAATCCCAGGTCCTTGGAAAGGATTTCATGTGTGAAAAAAACCTGCCAAATCCACTCTGAACACCTAATTTGCATGATGAACCATAATAAAAATAAACCTCCATATATCTTCTTAGGCCAAAATCAAAACTACATGGTTTCTGTAAATAGCAAATAGTCCTTTTATTTTTTGTTGTCAGCATTTTTTACTAGGAAAAAAGAAAACATTGGGTATTATTTTCTCTTCAAGAGTTGCTCCCTGTGGTTGAGTTTAGGCCGCAAAACAATGATGTAGCACTTTGGCAGGAATATGCATCCTAGTAATGCAGCGCTGGAGGCCAAGATGGAGAAGACCTCCACAGCTACCATGGCTTTGCCTTTTGTGCTCAGATAGGCTGGAAAGAAGGAGATCCAAACACTGCAAAAGGCCAACATGCTGAAGGTGATGAACTTGGCTTCATTAAAGCTGTCAGGTAATTTACGGGCAAGAAAAGCTACAATAAAGCTGGCGCTGGCCAAGATACCCATGTAGCCCAAGACACAGTAGAAGAAGAAAGCTGATCCCTCATTGCATTGTAAAATCATTTCTTGGATCTCTGAGTGCATGTCCAACTCAGGGAATGGGGGAGATGTTGACAACCAAAGAATACAAATACATACTTCTAATAGAGAGCATGAAAGGACAATAGAAAAGGACAATCTTTTCCCCACCCATTTCCTCATCTGAGATCCCGGTTTAGTGGCCATGAAAGCTACAACGACAGTGATGGTTTTGGCCAGGACGCTAGAAATGGCCACTGAGAAGGTGATGCCAAAAGCTGATTGTCGGAGAAGGCAGGTCACCTTGCCAGGCTGGCTGAGGAACAACAAAGAGGAGAGAAAACAGAGCAGAAGAGAGACAAGGAGGGTGTAGGTGAGGGACCGATTGTTGGCTTTGACAATGGGAGTCTCCCTGTGCTTAATAAATGTTCCAAGTACCCAAGCTGTCAAGAAGAAGAAACAAAGAGCAGTTGAGGCCAAACCAATTCCTAAGGTTTCTTTAAAAGTTAGAAAGACCAGCAGTTTCAGGATGCATCCATTCTTTTCTTTATTTGGATAATGATCTTCTGGACATTCAAAACAGTCATCCATATCTAGAAGAAAAGTGAAGAATTTGTCATCTATGCCATCCATGCTTTTGAAAATCATAGTGGATAACCATTGTGATTCATCTTGACTTGTTTCCATTACGCACCAGTGGGATCATTTGTCAATGAAAATGCAGTTCTTCCTCTGCTGTATGCTTTAGAATTCACAAGTAAAGTGGGAAAGGCAATTATCCATTGAAATCATTAAGGACCATTATTGCTTTATTATTTTTTCCAAAGCATAGAGAAGAAAACTGTGATTTATTTATTTATTTATTTGTTTTATTAGTCATATTTCTATGCCGCCCACTCTCTGAGGACTCTGGGCGGCTTACACCAAATACAGTATACTAAATAGCATATTGCCCCAACAATCTGGGTCCTCATTTTACCCACCTTGGAAGGATGGAAGGCTGAGTCAACCTTCAGCCGGTGAGATTTGATCCGCTGATCTGCTGAACTAGCAGTCAGCTGAAGTAGCTGCAGTACTGCACCCTAACCACTGCACCACCTCGGCTCTTATGATGGTAAGAGAAGCAGAGCTACTAACTCTGAAGTAAAAAGGTAAAGGTAAAGGTTCCCCTCACACATACTGTATGTGCTAGTTGTTACCAACTCTAGGGGGTGGTGCTCATCTCCGTTTCAAAGCCGAAGAGGCAGAACTGTCCGAAAACATCTCCGTGGTCATTTAATTTAATTTTAATTTAATTAATCATATTTCTATGCCACCCAACTCCCAAGGGACTCTGGGTGGCTTACAACAGAAATAATACAAACAGTGACATAATTTTTTTAAAAAAACATTATAAAAGCATTTTTAAACACTAAAAACACATGCAAACCATCCATTGCCAGATCTCGCAAGATTGAACAGCGAGATCAACAGCCCCAGGCCTGGCGGAAAAGCCAGGTCTTTCACCGCTTTCTGGAAGGCCAATAGGGTGGGGGTAGTTCGGACCTCAGGAGGTAACTGGTTCCAGAGAGCCAGGGCAGCCACAGAGAAGGCCCTCTCCTGCGAGCCTGCCAGCCAGCATTGTTTAGCTGACAGGACCCGGAGGAGACTAACTCTGTGGGATCTTACCGGTCACTGGGAGCTATGCAGTAGAAGGCGGTCTCGAAGATAGCCTGGCCCTAAGCCATGTAGGGCTTTAAAGGTAATGACCAACACCTTGAAATGTGTCATGTGGCTGGCATGACTAAACACCAAAGGCACATGGAATGCTGTCACCTTCCCGCCAAAGGTGGTCCCTATTTTTCTACTTGCATTTTTTACATTCTTTCCAACTGCTAGGTTGGCAGAAGCTGGGACAAGTAACGGGAGCTCACCCGGTTACACGACACTAGGGATTCGAATCACTGAACTGCTGGCCTTTCGATTGACAACCTAAGCATCTTAGCCACTAAGCCACCACGTCCTTAACTCTGAAATTCAATCAATATAATCTGTTTCACCTCTTCTAAATTTTAAACTCTAAAAGATGAGCAAGCTAAAGAAACATTAGTCTTTTTATTTCAGAATAAAAGGTTGGGTCAAACGAACAAAATAAATCACCTACATTTACCATCAAAACAAGATAATAGCCTGAACTCCAGCCCGTCGTTTTGTGTGCTTCTGTGTTCTATATAGAAAGTATTAATTGGTTCTAAAAACACCCACTCTATATCCCCCTGTGGTTGGAATATCTAATCCATTCGCAAATCTTCATTTGTTTCCTGAAGCTCCTTTCTCTTGCTTTCAGGTTTTAGTGGAAGATAAGATCTAGAAAATGGCAGATCAAGAAGGAAAATGTCTTAGTTCTCTCATGGTTAAAATGGACCTCAGCGTATCAAAGGGTTTGGTTGCAATTTTATACTATCATTTGTAAACAAAAAACAAAAAAAACACATCTGTCATTGTTTATTTCAATTTGAAGTAGAGTCTTTGAAGAGTGGACATTAGTGGTCCTTCAATCATACTTTTAGGGGACGCGGTGGCTCAGTGGCTAAGACGCTGAGCTTGTCAATCAGAAAGGTCAGCAGTTCAATGGTTCGAATCCCTAGTTCCGCGTAACTGTGGCAGGTTCGGCAGAATTAGCCTGCAATGCTAAATTCTAACCACTGCACCATCACAGCCCAGTCTTTCCTATCAATTTGCTAACAATCTTAGGGAAAAGAACAGCAAATGAGATTGAAAATGTGAAAAGTAAATAAATAGATAAGAGATCACGTGATGATAGACGATCTATGGCTGAATGGATATATACACTATTTTGGGCCTCCATTTGGAAAGACTACCTCTTAGAATCTTATAGGCAAACTTTGACTCCTGAACAACGGACTGTAATCCACAGTGCAGAAATATATATTCAGCCTAAAGAATTTGTGAAAACTTTTAATTATATGCATCACAATGTAGTGCATTACAATTTGCTTAAATCTATCTAATGAAACTTGATGGAATGTCTAACTTACCCTTTTGATTTGAAATCTTCCCTTCTGGACATGGAACACAGTCGTAGCAACAGAATTGTTTTCCTTCCATTCCTTTCTTCCAGTATCCGGGGGAGCAATGGTCATTACATAGAGAAATTGGAAGTACCTGGTCATAAATAAGAAAGCCTTTTCAAAGGGAGATTTTTAAAAGAGTTTCTTTTTTTTAATGAAAGTTTTTTATTTTTTTCAAACACACATAGAAACAAACAAACAATGCATTTTTTTCTGCCGAGTCACAATTTGTACCGCTTTTAGTTTCTCAAACACCATTTTATATATTTCACTTTTCGCTATAAAATTCTTTCTCTCTAATTTTCCTTCTATTTTATTTTATTTTCCTTCTATTTCTTCTAATATATAAACAATATTACCAATTATTGCCTTAATCTCTAATCCTAATCATTTTTTCCACTCCTCTCTACTTTTTTCAAATTGAAACCCTTTAAATTGAAATCAGTCATTTTTCTAAAATCTAAACCTAACTTTAAATTGTCTTATTTAATTAATTAATTAAATTGTCTTAATTAATTAATTATTTAATTACTTAATCCCATTACTCCCTTTTCACAATAAAATTTCAAATATTTTCCCTATATTCCATCATTCCAATCATAGATATTTAATATTCAGCAGTTTTACAATTATCCCTCTTTTCCATTTCTTTTTTATCAGTTTCCACATGTTTTCTCTGGATTCTTTTATTCCAATTACAAATCTTAATTTTCATACACTTAAATATATAACTCATTTATTTCCCCCTTTTCCATTTCTTTTTTTCCAACTTAACCATAATATAATTTCAAATATTTTTCCTAAATTCCATTATTCCAATTATCAATATTTAATATTCATACAGTTATACACATATAGCCCATTTCCTTCCCTCTTCTCTATTTCTTTTTATCAGATTAACCAAATAATACAATGCTACAATTTACTTAAGTATATAAACCCAATTTTCCATATATATAAATATATTCACACGTTTCCCTAAATACCAATATTCCACTCATGAATCTTTTTTTTTTAAAAAAAGTTTTTATTTTATGATCAAACAAGTATACAGTATCATTCGAACTATCATCAAGAAAAAAATTAATCCATAATCCATCTCTAAACTCAATCTTCAACCCCTTCTCACCACCCCCCACCCCCGACTTCCCAGAACAAAAACAGGGCATAGATTTCACCAAACATTCACTAAAATAAACTAGCTAACTGCAAGATTTAATAGCTCCCAAGACCCCTTAACTCCCCTTTTATAATTTCATCAACCTCCCTTTTTATAGACTCAAAGTAGCATATAATCCAATAATTCTAAGAGTTTTAAAACCATTAACAAATATTAAGCATTCAAACCTTAAAAAGTCTCTTAATATATCAATAAGGTATTCAATTCATTTACATAAACATTTTCCCCCTCTTACTTTTCTCAAAATTCAGATATTTTGAAATCTTATAACAAAAAGTAAACCTTAAATATTCAATAGTTAAATTTCTACATTTTTCCTCCCTCCAACTTTTAAAATTTTAAAACATAAACATCAGTGTTTTAATTAACCATTATTACATAAGGTAGAAAGCCAAAAAAAGATGAATCTTACATTCTTACTCTCAAATATTTTAAAAACCTTAAAACAAAAAATAAACCTTAATTAATCATAATCTGTACGTTTACCCCCTCAGTCTTTTTTCCTCCCTCCAACTTTTAACTCCTAAAACATAATCATTTTTAGCCATTATCATTATTTAAGTTTCTAAATTTTTTTAAAAAAACATAATCATTTTAATTAACCATTAATGCATCATATTTAAAAATCAATATTTAAATTTATACATTTTCCCCCTCAGTAGTTGTAACACCTAAAGCATAATCATTTTTAACCATTAATAGAACAACTGCAAAACCAAAAAGAAAGATCTTCCATTCTTGCTTTCTTTTTATATTTTTTCCAATCTTTCTGCATCCCTCCTTCTTCTATTTTGAGGAGGTTTTTAATTTTAATTTGAGGTTGATGTAACTGCAAAGATTGTCCCCTTTTTGAGAAAATTTCCTCTGATTTAGAGCCCCCATATCGCCTCTTCTTGCTTATATAGATCAGTTCATTCCTTCGTCTGTAAAACCAAAGATTGTCAAGAGTTTGTGAAAAAAAGTTCAGCTGTTTCTTTTCTATTAAATGTATAAATACCACTGGCAAATCTCCTTCATCTTCTAAAACTTCGGAAGTCTGATCATTTACTACTTTCTTCCAAACCAAGTCGTAATTTTGAAAGATTCTGTCAATTTTTTCAAAAAGAACAGAGAATAAGCTTGAAAATTCTTGAGAAAATTCTTGACAACCAACCAGTTCCACCTTCTCTGCTTCAATCAAAATGTCCCCTGGATTGTCATCATGCTCCGTACTTGCTTTTGTCTCCCCCATCATTTCTGTTGTTATCCCTTTGAGAATTGCTATTTGATTATTTATAGCTGCAGTATGATTATTCATGGCTTCTTTTATAAATTCTGTAAATTATGCATTAGGATCCTTGTAGTTCTGTAAATCAGACAACTGTATCATTTCTGACACCTTCAAATAGCTTCCAGCACTTTCAAAATCTCCTTTCTTGGAAGCCATTTTATTTTAAAAAGATTTTCTTTCTTTCCACAACCATAAAGTCATAAAGTCACAGCCATCCTCTTGAGCAACTTTCAGCAATTTCCTTATAAATCACCAAACGAAATAATCTTTTCCCAAACAGCTCTTTAAAATCTAATCCAGCAATTTAAAGCCAGTCTCTGAGCATGAGTCTATTAGCAGGCACTTTCCTTTCTAGCTTTCACTTTTAAAATCGCAACAATAACGCCATCTTTACTTCCAGCTCAGAAAACTCAATTAGAAACATTGTATCACCGGAGTTAAGCATTATACTTGCAAAAAGCTTGTCCTCCTGCTTCCATTCTGTCTGCTTTTTTGAAATCATTTAATCTTCTATTTGACAGCAGAAATTGGACGCGACGCCTAGCTCTGTAAAAAAACAGAGTCCCCCCGGAACCGGAGCTTCAGCGGGCTGAACGGGGAGCTCTCGCCCTCCGAAACCCTGGAATTAATCCAGGGGTTTTTGGGGAGCTCTACCCTCACCCACCAGCTCTCCTCCCCTTCTTTTCCTGAAGGGGAGATTTTCAAGCCGTTTGACAGCTGATTAGCGCTGTCAGAACGGCTCAACGGGATCGCGGGGGCGGCGGTCTAAAAAGACCGTCCATGGCGCCGTGGAGCCAACCCGGAAGTCCTCCACTCATGAATCTTGATATCCATACTCTTTTTCATATTTAACCCATTCCTTCCCTCTTTTCTATTTCTCTTCTGCCCCCAATTTATCCAAATATTGCATTCAAATATATTACTACATTTCACTTTAAAGTCATTCATTTCTACATCAATACGATATAATTTCAAATGTTTTAGCTGAATTCCATTATTACCATTAAAAACATTCCAAATATTATAATCACATCTATTAAACTTACTACCATTCATTTATAGTTATAAATCTTACTATCCTTTATCCCATCCTCTTTTCTTCTTTTTCCCTTTTTTCTCTTTTCTCTTTTTCCCTTTTTTCTCAATTTTAAAGCCCCTTGCTCTCCTAGTTCGCCCTGTATTTCCAACTGCTCTCCTCCTTTTTCCCCTATTCACCTTTCTTGCTTTACCACTGAGATCGTCCGGTCTCTCACCTTCGTTTTGTGGCGAAGGTTGTTGAGAGTGTGGTGGCACGACAACTGCCCAGGCACCTGGATGAAGCTATCTATCTGGACCCGTACCAGTTGGGTTTCAGGCGGGGGTACAGCACAGAAACGGCATTGGTCGCGTTGGTGGATGATCTCTGGAGGGCTCAGGACAGGGGTTGTTCCTCTGTCCTGGTCCTGTTAGATCTCTCAGTGGCTTTTGATACCATCGACCATGGTATCATGTTGCAGCGGTTGAGGGGGTTATGAATAGGGGGCACCGTTTTGCGGTGGTTCTCCTCCTTCTTATCTGACCACTCGCAGTTCGTGTTGACAGGGGGGCAGAGGTCGACTTCAAGGGGCCTCGCATGGGGAGTGCCACAAGGGTCAGTCCTCTAGCACCTTCTGTTCAACATTTATGTGAAGCCGCTGGGTGAGATCATCCGTGGTTTTGGGGTGAGAGTCCACCTGTATGCTGATGATACTCAGCTGTACATCTCCACCCCAGACCACCCCAACGATGCCCTTGATGTGATGTCTCGCTGCCTGGAGGCCGTGCGGGACTGGTTGGGGAGAAATAGGCTGAGACTCAACCCCTCCAAGACTGAGTGGCTGTGGTTCCCGGCGTCGCAATATAGTCAGCTTGTGCCATCGCTGACTATTGGGTGTGAGTCTTTGCCCCCCATAGAGAGGGCTCGCAATCTGGGCGTCCTCCTGGACGCACGACTGTCTTTAGAAGAACATATGATGGCCGTGGCCAGGGGGGCTTTTTATCAGGTTCGCCTGATTTGCCAGTTGCAGCCCTTTCTGGATTGCGACGCCTTGCGCATGGTCACTCATGCCCTTGTCACCTCCTGACTGGACTACTGTAATGCTCTCTACATGGGGCTCCCCTTGAAAAGCACCCGGAGGCTCCAATTGGTCCAGAATGCGGCCGCACGGGTGGTTATGGGCACAACTCGTTGTGCCCACATGACACCCCTCCTGCATGAGCTGCACTGGCTCCCAGTGGTCTTCCGGGTGCGATTCAAGGTGTTGGTTACCACCTTTAAAGTGCTCCATGGCATTGGACCTGGGTACCTTTGAGACCGTCTTCTGCCACCAGTAGCCTCCCACCGGCCAGTTCGCTCCCACAGAGAGGGTCTCCTCATGGTGCCATCAGCCAAACTATGTCAGCTGGTGACACCCAGGGGGAGGGCCTTCTCTGTGGGAGCTCCTGCCCTTTGGAATGAACTGCCCCCTTCTGGGGGCATGATGAGTAAGAAGGAGATGCCTTCTGGGGGCATGATGAGTAAGATGAGTAAGATCTCCGACCTCCGTGTATTTCACTGTGCCCTCAAAACCTTGTTGTTCCACCAGGCAGGGCTATCAATGTAAAGACTTTAATTGATTAAATGTGG